TTGGATTTTGAGATGATACTTGGGTCAATGCAACTCTTTGCGGAGTGCAATACCCAGGTTTGTAAAGAATTATTAGGCATACATATGTATAGATCGTCCAGGTCCTGGGCCAAGCCGATCTGACATCTCTTTCCGTGTAGATTTATAGCTTGGTCACAAAACATGGAATGAATTACATGCACATTTGGAGCCTATCAACCATGGTGGGAGCTATGCATCTCCCGCACAGCCGTGCATGCCGTGGACGGGATGAGATTGCCAATGCTAAAATGTGATAGGTAATATTTATGAAAGTTTTCTTGCTGGCCACATGGAGCTTCTGGAAGGGACGCAATAACAAACATTTCAGAGGGATTACACCGTCTAGAAGAAGATCCTGACTAATTAGATTCAAGGAAGATTTTACTCTCCTCGCTTATAGGGTGAAGAAGAAACACAAAAATCTTATTTCTTCTTTGCTTACTTCTCTCTCCTAGCTATCATCCCCCTCAACCCCAAAGTAGGGTGGGTTTGTAAATTCTCTATGTACAGTTACCTCTTCATTCTATTAATTTAATTACAGTCAGAGCTTCTCCTACTGTACAAGGTTAAAAAAAACAGCGAGATAGGTCTGAGCTCGGTTCAATCACGAAACACGACATGCACGACATGGCGAGGTGGGCGACGGAGGAGCGCGCGGAGTGCAATACCCAGGTTTGTAAAGGATTATTAGGCATAAATATGTATAGATCGTCCAGGTCCTTGGCCAAGCCGAACTGACATCTCTTTCCGTGTAGATTTATAGCTTGGTCACAAAACGTGGAATGAATTGCTTGCACATTTGGAGCCTATCAAGCATGCATGGTCGGAGCTATACATTATTTTGTTGGAGTAATTAGCTATTTTCTGATTAGTCTAGTCCATAAATAAATCATAAACATGGCACTGATAGTATTAAACTTATACTGATATCTTATCATGTAGGCACGTACTGTGCATATAATAGAAACAACTACGTAGATAACTAGTACAGACAACATAAAAATAAACAGGAGAGGGATAAACAAATTGTACACTCCATTCGACGAAGTCATAGCCACCGCAGTGGCGTCCTTCTTCTCGGCTTCGATGGACATGGTGATGTCGAAGGAGACGAGGACGCAGACGAACAACAGTGAGCAATCGTGTAGGAGACGCTCTCTAAAAACCTAATCACTCTTCCCCGATGAAGGATCGCAAAAGGTTGGGTTCTGGAGGCAAACTCTCCCGCACAGCCGTGCATGCTGTGGACGGGATGAGATCGCCAGTGCTAAAATGTGATAGGTAATATTTATGAAAGTTTTCTTGCTGGCCACGTGGAGCTTCTGGAAGGGACGCAATAACAAACATTTCAGAGGGATTACACCGTCTAGAAGAAGATCCTGACTAATTAGATTCAAGGAAGATTTTACTCTCCTCACTTATAGGGTGAATAAAAAACACAAAAATCTTATTTCTTCTTTGGTTACTTCTCTCTCCTAGCTATCATCCCCCTCAACCCCAAAGTAGGATGGGTTTGTAAATTCTCTATGTACAGTTACCTCTTCATTCTATTAATTTAATTACAGTAGGAGAAGGTTAAAAAAACAGTGAGGATAAGTTTGAGCTTGGTTCAATCACAAAACACGACGTGCACGGCATGGTGAGGTGGGCGGCGAAGGAGCAGCGCGCGGGGACCACTCCTCTGCTCGCAGCTCCAATTCCTCCACAGATGAACGCATATGGAGAATATCCCAAACCGACATAAGGTTCTTGCCTTAGTGCAATTCTAGTAGAATCGCCATATTCGTAGACTATATAACGCATACGGAGTATGCTCCATATGTATTTGGAGGCTGCGGAGGCTATGCGCAAATACAGAGTCATCATACTATCGCCTCCATATTTTTAATCCAAGTAGGACCTACCTGTCACTGGGTCATAGGTTCTTCCCCAATAGTTCGAACTTCAAAACACATTTGATTGAAACCGATTTCATTCCTAATAATTCGGGCAGAAAATTAGTCGCACTGTGACTTACATTGATCGAGCAACTAATGATTAGTTAAACTTAATACTAAGCAGGTAATTAGTTGCAGCCACATCTAGCGCCACTGTCGGTGTAGAGTGCGGCAATGTACGCCACCATCCCACAATGACGGCAGCAGGGGCGTGCGTGCGGTCCCAAATCCGCCGCTCCCTTTCCCCGTCCTGATCACACACTCCTCCAGGGTCGATTGGTCCCAGGGGGGTCGAGAGGATCCTGCAGCTTCTCT